AACAACGTTTCTCAAGGATTTTAAACTTATTTTACGTAGCTATTATGATATATGTTATTATAATTAGTTATATGGTCAAGAATAATTGTCGTATTTCAAATGCTCGACAACTAAATTATGACATAAATAGAAAATTGATCAAACATTTTCTGAGCATATAAGAAAATATGAAATCCTTATCGTGTGAGACGACACTTTTTAATGGACAAATCAATAAGAAAATATTTTAAACCACGATCGTCTTTGTTATTTATCAGGATTAACAATACAGACGTTTATCAAGAATTTTCTTTTTTTTTTGTGAAATTAACCATATCGCGGTAAATGTGGGCAATTTTGTGTGTGTGTATATATGTGTGTGTGAAAAAGAAGATGTATTTATAGACTAAAAAAGATTATTTTTCAATTCATTAATCATTAATCTTGTGTTGTCGTGTTGATATTTAGTGGCAAATTAACATTTTTAGACCAAACAAGTATACTTCTCCTACATATTAAATATTATACGAAGAAACAAAGCCGGATATGGAGATTTTTTCTCCCACATTATATTTATACATTCAAATAAAAGGGAAAAAATGCTTTAGTAATTAGTACAGTAGGAAAACAGCATATTAATCCATTGGCAAGAAATATCCCAATAACAACACACAGAGACTTGGATTATGCAAAAGTCCAATAATTTATAGTGACTCTTATAGAACAAGGGTTTATTTCTTATAGTTTTGTGTGCTATATAGTACATATGCTTTAATTTGCTAGGGTTTAAAAAAATACATACTAACAAAAGATAGCATATATTTCATGCTTAAATTGTTTCTATTTCAAAAATGACAATGTTTTTTCCCATCCATGCAGAGACATGGATCTTTGCAATAGTTCAATAATTTATAGTACTATTAATGGAGAGAGGATCTATTTCTTATAGTGTTTTATGCTTTAATTTGTTAAAGTCCAAAAAAATGCATATTGACAAAAGAAAACATATATTTCGTACTCAAAAAGTTCCTATTTAAGAAATGACATGTTTCTTCACATTCATTCGGAAAAGAAAATAACAAAAAGAGTTAATGAAATTCTCGAGATGGTGACAAGCATGTGCAAGCTTGATCGGAAAAATGACACTGTATAACCGTTGTAAAAATAAAATTCGTTGTAAGTAGTTTTTGGTGCGAGCTAAAAGTAATAATACCCCATCGAAAAACTCCCCAAAAGAGGTCTAATTTCTCAAGTAGATTTTGGTGTTAGAAATTGTTGGTCAAAATTAAATTTTGAATGCGTAACGTAAAGTTTCAATTGCTGCGATTTTAGAAAAACTGATCATTAAGGGAAATTTCCACTTAAATTTTCATTATAGAGTACCTCTAAACACCTAGAGATCTAACTAATAAATACGACAAAATAACTACTCATGTGACATCAGTAATGTATCTAGATAGATCTTTTTGAAATTAAACTCTTTTAAACTTTTATGATTTTATCAATTGATTAATTTTTCTGGAAATCTAACAGATAACTAACATGGTTTAAACAATCCAACTCTAATAACAATCACAGGTTACAACAATATATTGATCCAATCGATCTAAAAAATATCATGAGAAAAAAGAAACGACCTGGAAAATATAATTCTTGCTATACAATTAATACTAACCAGAAAAATGACTCAATGATCAGGGCTCAAATTGCAATAGAGGCAAAAAAGAATTAAGTGATTTATTATCATATGTCTAAACAATATTTATTACTATATAAATTGATTTGGTAGCTATACTTGTGGCAAATAGTAAAAAACTAACGAATCAGTTGAGGTGTACGTAAATTGACTAGTACTTCGATCCGGTATTAAAAAACTGTGATCTTGAGACCATTTAAACTCAAAGCATGCATCATGTTTTTTCCCCCCCATGTATCATGGCTTAAATTGTATTATAGTTTTTTTATGGGCTTAAATTGCATTTTAGTGGTTGTTATCTTTGGAACTAGAGAAAGCAGTTCAAGAAGTTAATTTTCAGTTCTACTTTCCCACCCCATTTCTTTTTCTATTAATCCCTCCTATTCTCAGTATTAACCCCTTTCTACTTGCCTAACCTAAATCTAGAGGGTCAATGAATATTTAAAAATCGACTAAACCAACTAAACCGTATCGTACCGAATTAATTTTTAGGGTTTTTAATAAAATCGTAGATTTTTATATAAATCTATAACATACTGATAATTAGGGTAAGTTTTTTATTTTATAAAAATAAATCAAAAAAAATTGAACCGTACCGAATAAATTTACATATGAAAAATAAATTTATATATTAAGATGAAAAATAATAAAGTATTAAATTTTTCCTTTGGCCTTGAAATTATGAAAACGATTACAAGCCAACATTAATTAAACTCAAAATCCTAATTCTCAAACCTATTATGCTACTCCTATTGAAACTAAATTATTTTCAGCATATTCACTAGCAAAACACAAAGCGTTCAAGTGATTATGAGCAGTAAACTACAATGTATCTGTATTGAATATGTTTTCTTTTGTATGATTTATATTTATCTTTTTGAATATTAATCTTCTATATACGTTATTCTTGAGTCCCAACTTGGTTAATATCTGTACACTCGTGTGATTTATATATATATTTTTGTCTTTGCTTAGGTTCTTTTACGCTGGTGTAGAATAGTTGGTGGACCTACACTCTGACTATCTTTCATATATTTTTAATTTATCGCCCTTAAAGAGTAAAAATGTCTAGACAATTTTGCTAAGTCCTATAAAAGTAGTGTTGTTGCATTCTACTTCTACTAATGACTTTTATATAATATTTTTAAAAATATCAAAAATTAATCGAACCGTACCAATACAAAAGGGATTACATATGTATATAAAAATCAACCGAATTGTATCGTATGGAATCAATTTTTTAATTTTTTAAAAATAAAATCATAGATTTATATATAAATCTATAACATACCGACAATTAAGGTATGTTTTTATTTAATAAAAATAAATCAAAAAAATACGGAGTAAATTTACATGTGAAAATATATTTATATATTAAGTTTAAAAATAATAAAGCATTAAATTTTTCCTTTGGCCTTGGAATTATGAGAATGGTTACAAGCCAACAAGTAATTAAACACAAATTCCTAATTCCTAAACCTATTATGTGACTCCTATTGAAACTAAATTATTTCCAGGATATTCACTAGCAAGACACAAAGTATTAGAGCGATTATGAGTAATAAACTACAATGTATCAAATATGTTTTCTTTTGTATGATTTATATTTATCTTTTTGAATATTAATCTTCTATAGACTTTATTCTAGAGTCCCAACTTGGTTATATTTTTCCACGTGTGTGATTTATATTTTTTTGGTCTTTGCTTAGTTAATTTTACGCTGCTATAGAATAGTTAATGGATCTATACTCTGGCCATCTTTCATAACCTTAAAGAGTAAAAATGTATAGACAATTTTGTTAAGCCCTATAAAAGTAGTGTTATTGCATTCTACTTCTACTAATGACTTTTATATAATAGTTTTTAAAAATACCGAAAATTAATCGAACTGTACCAATACCGAAGAGAAACCGACATGATTGAGACGATTTCGAAAAGTCTAATTTTTGTAATACATAAAAAATAATCGAAAAATTAGTAGTATAAATTTTATAAAATAACCGGACGAATCGAGCCATTGACACATACCTAATGGGCATTCGTAAAAGCAAAGCTTCATTACTAAAATGGGAAAATGCATAAGTACCCCTTGACCTATACCAGGATTCCCAACTACAGACTTTTTCTTTGCGGGAATCCTATTACCCCCCTAAACTTATTTTAAATATAATTATTTGCACCCTAACAACCAAACTCTTGGCAAGTGGTGAGCTACACGCGCCCCCACATGTATTTTTAGTACTTTTTTTATTCTTTCATCTTTTTCTTATCCTTTTTTCTTATTTCTTATTATTCTCATTTTTTTGGTTATTTCATTCTCTTTCTTTTTGTTTTGGTCACCGACGGCATAAAATGGCGGTCGTCGGAATTTCACAAACACCATTTTTTTCGGCGATTTTTTTTTCCGGCGACAGATTTTTATCCCGATCTAAGTGTGTTTATATATATATATATATATATATATTTCTTGAAAGTGTAATTTATGTGTGGGAGGAAGAGCAAAAGAAATAAAAATGAATATAAGCTGAGTAAACTTTTTCCAGTTAAAATTTCAATACATCATTTTTTTTCGGCGTGGGAAGGTTTTTCGATGATGAATTTTCCCCCCCAAATCTGAGTGTATTTTGCTTTGCTTATGAATAGATCTTTTTGAGAGTTTAATTTGTGTGTGAAAAGAAAAATGGAAGAAAAACGATTAGACAAAGTCGCCGGTGAATGAATATCCGTCGGAATTAGAGAAGAAACGAAAAAAAAGTAAAAGAAAAAAGACAAAGAAAAAGGAAAAGGAAAAAAAAAGTAAGAAAAAATGGTAAAAAAGAACAAAAAATAATTTGAAAATCTTTTTTTCTTGTTTCTCACTCTCCTTTGGGAGAGTGAAATACACACACTCTACCACGTCAGCGTTAAAGGTGCAAATAATTCCATTTAAAATAAGTTTAGGAGGTAATAGGATTTCCGCAAAGAAAAAGTGTGTAGTTGGAAATCCGAATATAAGGGGTACTTATGCATTTTCCCTTACTAAAATAATGATGAAATAGTAAATATTCCTCTATTTTTAATTAGATATATTTATGATTTGAGCTCAGAGAATAGAATTACTTTACTAAATGGCGTTTTACCCAAAATGAGATTTTTCAATACAAGTTACAAATCCGAATTAATTGAGTACCAAATTAGGTACGGCACCGAATAAGAGACAAAAGAAAGAAAGCAGCAGAGTTTCAGTTTCCAATTCCCACAAATCTTAACGCCGTTAGTTAGTTACTGTCACCGTCATCTCATATCATCATTCCTCATAAACGGGGGGAAAAATATAAGCGAAGCCTAAGCTTACTTTCTTAAGCATTCATTCACCTCCATTTATGGCTTTTATGCACTTTTCTCTTACACACCCTTTCCTTTCATTCCTATTTTAATTTTAATTTAATAAAACTAATATTCTCTTTTATTTTTCTTGGGAAAATCAAAAATAAAAAAAGAATCCACAGAGCGTATTCACACTCCACCCCTTTGAAAAAGCTTACACAGTTTTGTTAACACAGATTTGTCATTTGTGTTGAAACCCCACCTCTACAGTGAAAACCCAATTAGGGTTTTCTGAAATAAAGTTCATTTATTGAGACAGCACAGTGAAGTGTAATTTTAGTTACATCATTTTATTAGTTTTTATATGATTTCTTTATGGTAATGGTAATAATATGAGAAAAAAGGGTAATAGAAGATCGAAAGTTAGTATCTTTACAAATGGGGGTGGCCAAAGTGTGGAGATATAGTGTCATTTTCAAGATTTGGCCGTCGGGGCCGTCGTTGGGGGCGGCGGCGCCGTCGCGTCGGCCGATCTCATGGACAGCTATTTGCGGGTTTATGCTTTTTGCTTTGGGGTTGATTTCACTCTTCACTGGACACGTGGCATCTAATCTTGAATGGTACTCTCAGCGACTCGTCAAACGGGCTTGGTTTTATAAGCTGGTAATGTAACAAAAATGTTAGATTTTCACCCTTTTGTTTGTTGGGGCAATTTTATGCTTCAGTGTAATTTTTGAGGAAAAGGTTCTGTGAAAAAATGGAAAAAAGATTGAGGAATTGAGGAATGTTCCATTTAGCTAAATAAGTGTATCAGCTATGTATTTGATAATGCAGTCTTCAAAATTTTGATCTTTTTCAACCCTTACTCCCACATATAGCTAGAATGTGGACAATAAGTGCTGATGTCTGGCCTCTTTCAATGTATGTGTTAGTGTTCTTTTTTAGGGTGGTGGGAGCTCTTCTATCTTTTGAGAAACCCTGCTCAAGTTGACCTACTATTTATTTTTTTGGTTTTTTGATAATGGTGGTGTCCGGTTAGCTTGCGCACCTCGGCTATTCAACCTGATACTTTCTACCACTCACCAGCAAAAATACCGAGCGACTCTGTCCACCGAAGCTTAGGTAGATGGGAAGAAATCATATAATGTTTTTTGCTCCCGCTGGAATTTGAACCTGAGACCACATGGTTCTCCTCGCACTTCATTGACCGCTAGCCAACATCCTTAGGTGCTACTTGACCTATTATCTCTTAGAAATACATGCAGACTCATCGAAGAAAATAACACAATGAAAACGAAAAAAGATCTGCATATGGGACACCTGCAAGTTGGGATTAAGTCTTAGTAATGCTGTTAGATTTGCAGTACTTAATAAAAGAAAATGCCATTACACTTAAAATGCTATATTACACTTATATAGGGATTTTGTTTTGGTTTGTTAGAGATTTGTATGTTGGTAGGAAACTACTAGTGTTAGAACACTATCCTAATTTGTCTTTTTTTTTCCTCAAAGAACCCCTAATATGCATTAACAGTTAAATTATTTAGTATCGAACAGAGTGGTCGAAATGCTACAGAATGCATATTGAGGATTCTAGCCCCTTTCATTAGTCTGGGATTGAGGCATATAGTTGTAGTAGAAGAATGAGATGGGACATGTCTTCATGTGGAAATGAACTCTCGTAGATATTAAGGAAAGAAATTTTCGTTTTTTGTGCTAGATCTTTGTGGATGAGTCATCGAAAGATTTTCTTCTATTAGATAAAAAGTACTGGAGAAGTTTGCCATTGCTGGTAATCTGACCCAAAATTTAATTGGAAAAGCAACTGTTTGTGGTTATGACACTAACATGCATGACAGTGAAGGCTAAGTTATTCCGATGCGTGTCTTGGTATATTTAAGCATCACATTTTGGTTCTATGACATGTTTCAGGATGGAGGTCATCGTGCACAAATTGACATTTGGAAATCAAGGTATTCAAGTTCTTACTACGGATGCAGTGAGAGAGGCCCTCATTTTGCTTGTAAGTTTATTAGTGCTTTTACATGGTATCCTTGCATATTTCTAAAAGTACATAGTGTTTTTCTCCAGTAGTCTAAAGTTATGTAAAATATCAGTTATGTTCCTTGTTATTGGCTTGAGTTAACTCGTTGGTTTAAACATGAACCTGATTTGACGCTATAATGTTTCCAAAATTAAATGTAGCTGCTGTGCATGAGCGATCTTCAAATGGATATCTGCTTATTGCAACTAGTGGAGGTCTCAACCAGCAAAGAACTGGTGTAAGTATATTTGACGTGACTTTACATTTATTCATTCACTTATCTTTGGGGCCTCTGTGATATTCTTGTTTTAATCATTTTAATTCCACACCTCAATAATCTGAAATTTGAAATGTATATCTTGCTTATCAGATAACTGATGCTGTAGTTGTTGCACGGATACTCAATGCCACTTTAGTTGTACCTGAATTGGATCATCATTCATTTTGGAAGGATGACAGGTTTGTCTGCTTCTTTTAGTTTATTGGTAGAGCATGTGTATTTGTTAACGTCATGGTATATTAAGCAAGTTTGTGATTTTTTCTTACTGAGGCTTGTTTACTTGCAGTGATTTTGTCAACATTTTTGATGTTGGTTGGTTCATCTCTTACCTTGCAAAAGATGTCACGATTGTTAAAAGGGTTCCAGAGAAGGTCATGACGTCAATGGAAAAACCCCCATATACCATGCGAGTTCCTAGAAAATCGGAGCCTGAATATTATTTGGAGCAAGTATCGCCTATACTCTTAAGAAGACGGGTAAGTGAACACACAAAATAACGTACTGAGCTAGCTGTTATTTTCTTGTTAGAGCTGATGATTCCAAGAAATAGTAATGCACTTTAGAAAATGTTTTGTCATTTGCTTCCTGACCTCCTATTAAGTGAGCACTATGTCGAGTTGCAAGAGCCAAAGATGCACTTCGAATAAGATCTAAATCTCTCTCTGTTTTCCTGATATTAACTTAGGTCATTGTCTGACCTAACCATTCTCAATTTCAGACATGGATAAACTTGTTTGCAAGTCAGTCAGTTCTTTTGCAAAAAAATCATCATTTATGCATTTATTTTTGGGCCTAGCCGTATAATAGCAGGCTTGGAATTTATAAAGATAATGAATGGCATGGTCAGACACTCTGGCTATTCATTGTCTTTTGTTTCATAAATATCTGTTCAGCGTTAAGGCTTTTGTTAAAGTCATTTTGTTAACTTGATCATGAATCTGTAGTAGGTTGTGTGCTTGAAAGGATAATAAATCATATTGCTCAGTAAATGGGGAAGTAGAGTTAGTCGAGGTGTGCGCGAGCTGGCCTGTACACCACGATTATCGGAAAAAAAAGAGAGTAATAAATTGAGCTACTAAGGAGTCGTTTGGTCTGTGAACAAGTTATATTGGGATTATAATATGGGGATTATAATTGCATGGATTAAATATTGACTGTATTATTTAGTGGATATACTTTTGTCCGTAGATGTTTGATTCATTGGACAATAGAATGTATAAAACATGTGTTTGGTTTTACACTAAACTTTTATTTTCAGTTTTAACTTTAGTTTTCTTTAAGGACTTCAGAAAAGAACTTTGGAGAAGGGCAAATATGTCATTTTGTTGGTTTATCCTAGGATTAGTAATCACGGGATTGTTGTCCCACATAGAGTGGCATAAAAATAAAACCATAATTGTGGTATAAACCGTCCTGGGATTGCTTATACCAGAATCAAAAGCTCAGCCAAATACGGGATAAAATAATCCCACATTTTATCCCGGGGTTGTCATGTATCTGTTTAATCAAATGACTCCTAAGATGCTTGTCATTTCTGTGTTAATTAATTTAACAGATATTTTTAGCAGTTGATCAATTTTTCTCTAAGTGAGTTAGGCATATCTATCTATGTTTCCTAAAAAGTATCATTCTTGGAAGGTTGTCTACCTAGCCAATTAGATAACAAACTAGGTATGCCTACTATTTTTGTATGTTCTTCAAATTGAGCTTTCATTTTTTTTCCTTGTTCATCAATTTCACCTAAGCTGGTCAAGTCTTATTAAAGTAAAAACAAGATTCTAGAAAGTGCATGATTATGTTTACATTTTATTGATGTTTGGGCTCCGAATTGCATGCAGGTTCTTCAGTTGACAAAGTTTGATTATCGACTTGCTAATGACCTCGATGAAGAGCTACAAAGATTGCGTTGCCGTGTGAATTATCATGCCTTAAGATTCACAAAACCCATAAGAAATCTTGGTCAGAAAGTTGTGTTGCGCATGCGAAAGATGGCAAACCGTTTCATTGCAGTTCACTTGAGGTTAGTTTGACTTAGTGCATTAAACAGTTAAACCTTCTGATTCTTTGAGCTTAAATTTTTTCCTTTCAATTTAAGAAAGCAATGCTAGTGAAAGTAAAACTGAGAACTGAAGTTGCAACTGTTTAGGTCTCTTAAGTTTAGCATGATCATTTTTTACATGTATATATCAAATTTTTAATGGAGATGTTCACACGCACTTCTCTTCAAGTTTGCTGTGCTGTAGGGAGGGATCTAGTATTCAATTTAGTGGTTAGGACTTAGTAGTTCTCTCTCAGTGGCATAATAATGAAGATAACAAAAAAAGTCACTTATCTAGAAAAAGATAAAACGAATTAGAACCGGCTATAAATCCATGTTCCCTTTTGGTAAGATGGGACCTGTATTTTGACCTTCATTCTTGGTCGTACTTGAGTGTCTGTTTTCACTAATTGCTTAGAAATTTAGTAGAAAATTGTGGCTTAAGTTTTCAACTTAGACAGGATGAAGCTTTAGAATCTTACTGATGCCATTTAATACTTATGTTCCATCAATATTGACCCCCTTCGACTTTTTGATTTCTACTGGTCGTTCATCTGTGCTGTGCTTGATTATTTGTTTTAGGTTTGAACCTGATATGTTGGCATTCTCTGGCTGCTACTATGGTGGGGGTGACAAGGAAAGATATGAATTGGGTGAGATAAGAAAACGATGGGCTACTTTACCTGTAAGATATCTATCACTAAAGAATTTCGCTTCTGCCTGTTATTACACGCCAATTTAGGTGATATCACTTCTGTGCTATCAGGTGTCTAGTGCATATTAGGGTGGATTTGTAGAGCTGCAATTTAATTGCAAGCTTGTGAACACCTACTTCCTTGCTGGAAGCCTCTTCATTATTCTTCTCGAGCATTGTCTCTGCTTTGCGATTTTAGGATTTTGAAATGCTATTTCTTTTGGAGTTTAGCCTGAATACATAAAGCATAATATTTAACGAAGCAATGCGATTGAGTCACAGTGAATTCTTGATTCTTGCATTTCCAGAGTAATTTCCACAACAAGAAAGGTAAGTTTGGTGATATACTAAAGCAGAAACTCCAATAAAAATTTCTGTACATTTTGTTGGTTCAGGAGTTGAGCCCCGATGAAGAGCGAACACGAGGGAAATGTCCACTAACACCTCATGAAGTCGGGCTTATGCTGCGGGCTCTTGGCTTCAAAAATGACACGTACCTTTATGTTGCATCTGGTGAAATATATGGTGGAGAGAAGACTCTGCAGCCTCTAAGAGAGCTTTTTCCAAACTTTTATACCAAAGAGATGCTTGCCAGTGAAGAACTTCAACCATTTCTCCCTTACTCTTCTCGACTTGCTGCAATTGACTACATTGTTTGTGATGAAAGCGATGTCTTTGTCACTAACAACAATGGGAACATGGCAAAGATCCTCGCCGGTAGAAGGTAGGGAGATTACTGTCCTTTTTTACGCTTATTTTTATTGATCTGTTCATTAGCAACATAGCATGGTAGGGATTACTGTCCTTTTGATAACATTGTTTTGTTGTTCATATCAAAGGAGATACATGGGGCATAAGAGGACGATCAGACCAAATGCCAAAAGGCTCAGTGCTTTGTTCATGGCACGGGATAAGATGGATTGGACCACATTCTCTAGAAAAGTCAAATCATGCCAAAGAGGTTTCATGGGAGATCCAGAGGAAATGAGACCAGGCCGTGGAGAGTTCCATGAATTTCCATCGTTGTGTATCTGTAAGAAACCATACAATTATTCTAATGTATTAAGCAAAGAGAACAAGGATCAGTTTTCGAGAAGGAATCCAACTGTCGTGGAGTCAAGATATAGGTACCTATCCAATAGCAGTAACCTGGATGAGAAGAGCTTACAGAAATTTAGAAAAGGGAGATTGAGGGAAGGGCATGGATCTCTAATAGAAGAGATTGACCCTGATAATCCTTTATCTGACTAAATAAATACCGAGATTAGGTTATCAGTTTTGCTAGTATTGTTATGGTTATCTTGTCCTCTCCAACATGCTGCGATTTTTCACTTGGTACGACTTCAGGAAGCTGGAGTCTCAGTGCTCGGTAGCATCTTCAATGCTCAATTTTTCCGATCTTGCTGCTTTTGTATAGCAAATCGTGTAACTTCTGGTGATCTGCTAATTGTTCATATATGTTCTGTAAGATAGGACTGTAGGGAGAGTGAGGCCTTATGTTGCCTGGTTGAAGATATATATTCTGCAGCTTTTTCACTATGTTTCGTTTGTTTGATGTGTATCCAATTAGGACAGTTTGGTTCATCAAAATGAAGACCACGGGGCTTCCTCACATTCTGCCTTGCCTTTATTGGTGACGTCGAATCCTACACCTCCAAAGGAAGCGTAGCATGGTCGTTTATTTGTTGGGGTTGAATCCCACAAGGAGTAGGCGTGTGTTAGATTGTCCAAATGCGTGCAAACTCAGATGATTCTTAATGTAATCTTCAAACAAAACGTGGTTGTTCAATTAATTCTAAAGTTACTTCTAAAATTTAACTAAGGAATTCTGTCAAACACATAGAGTGCAAATAAAATGTAGTTGTAACAAATAAGAGAAACGCGCTAGGATTGCTTCTGTTTTGTGTAGGCTATGCTTTTCGGTATACAAATGTTCAATTCTAGTTAATTAAGCATGTGTTATGACTTCAATTTTCATTCTACCAACTTAATATCTTCCAACACTTAGAGAGATTTCTACCCCAAGTTGCTCTTCCAAGATAACTAAGGCTCAATGATAAGCAATTGATTAGCCCAAGTAGAAATCACACTATTCCTAGCTAGATTTCATTAATCAAATGGCAAGCCCACTTAGTTCCTTGCTAATTACTTTGTACCTAAGCTAAGTTCTACTCTTCCAAGCTAGAACAAGCAAAATAGGCATGGATTTAGTGTTTGCCACCACAAAATCAATCAATAAAGCATGGATTAATTAGATAGCACGAAGCTTGAATTTATATTAATAACCCAAAAATATAACCACACTTAGGGTTCACAATCCTAGCTTAATAAACTTAGCTAGATATATTAAGAAAAGAAAATACAAAGAGAGATGAAAATCTAAGCATAATAGCTAAAGAGAAAAAAAAAAACTATGTAGAACAATGGGAAAGTCACCCAAAATCCCAAAGAGGAAATCCCAAAAGCTGCTACACAAGTCTCCTTGCCAAAAAGATACCTTTGAATGATTTAAAATAGGGAAAAAGGTTATTATTACCCCTGTACTATTGTAAATAGTACACGTTTGTCCTCCGTTTCACATTACGTCCCTACCGTTAACAAACTTGATGGAACTGCCCCTAACCCTAACGGATGGCCAGTGGCACCCGACCAAATCATATGGTCCCACTAAATTAAACCTCCTAAAGGCGTAAAAACTTGAAACAAAAGATGCTCCCCCCCGCCCTTTCCCTTCCCCTTCTCTTACTCAGTTTCTTAGTGAAATCTATTTCGTAATTTAAAAGTCTTTGAAGCCTTTATTTTAAAACTTTTTTCTCTCGTAAATATTACTCCAGTTCCACTCCAAAAATTCCATTTTCATGTTTCTTTTAGTTATACATTTTGCTCACTTAGAACTCTATTTTTTTCAAGTTGTTCGTGTGAATTCAAGATATTTCTAGGTTAGAATTAAGTAATTCATGATTTACTTCTTCTTTGTTTGATCTTGTATTTTTCTGATATTAGTTAAATACGGGGATTGACATTTGAAACATGAATTTTCGACATAACTTTGATTTGCTAACCTCCAATGAACAGAAGAAAAAAAAGTCAAAATCAATTGGAAGTGAGTCTTGTGAGAACCATCATTCAAAGGTTTGTATCCTCCAAATCATAAAACTCAAACATCAAGTAGAGAAAAGTCTAAGTTCCCCAAACTAAATCTCGTTTTCTTTTGGTTGCTTAATCTGATTTTTGGCAAAAATTAAATTAGAGCAATGTTTGAAATTCTTGAATAGATAAAGATCATGGTAACTTGAACCTTGAGTAGAGCAAGGTCTTGGCATAGTTATTTGTTTTAGAACAACGCTTGGAATTCTTCAATTATTAAACCATTCTTCGACATCTCTTCTGATGGTTCTTGGTTCTTTAGAAAGATGTTTGGTTATGGCAGTAACAAGAACTTTAAGAAAAGAAAATATTTTCAGGCTGGTCACCGGTGGTTCTCTATGTGGTGTTCTCGATTTTCATTGATGATATTTGTTAAAGGAGGACTAGGAGGGGTAATGGGTAATGGGTTAAGGTATGGGTCGGGCTTGATAAGTGTACTGGGTCAAGTTTATGGGTTTAGATGTTTTAATTTGGTGGGACCATCTGACTTTGTAGCTGACATGGATAAAAATTTGAGGGATTGCCTGCCACAGAGGAAGGCGTTAGGATTAGGGGCAAATATGAAAATTTTATTAACGATAGGGGTTGGAATGGACGAGAAGTATAACGAAGATCAAATGTAAATAATATAAAATAATAGAAGGACATATTCGAACCTTTTCCCTTTAAAATAACTATTTATACTAAGTCCCAAAAGTAGACGAAACCCTTCGGATGCCAGCGCAGCTAGCTACGCCAACAACTCTCTCTTGTAATGTTTCAGGTCTTCATTTGGCGTAGGTAGGGAGCGTAGCTACGCAGGGCAACATAGCTAATTCCAGAACACTCTAAAATCTTCAGCTTCCAATGCCTCAGTTGCTTAGCTATCTTCCACTTTTCTTTATTTTCATCTTTTTAGCACTTTAAGCTTCCATTCACCATTCTCATGCATGTTTTTTATGCTTTTCTTTTACTCTAGGCTCTTTAATCACTTCACACCTTGAAACTTCATCATTTAAAGCATAATTAATCAATTCATTCCAACAAACGGGACATAAAGCTCTATCAAAACACTAGAAAATTTAGCTAAATTGCTAACTTATCACCTATTTTAGTACTTCCATAATATTCACTTACATATAATCAACAACAACAACACCCCAGTATAATCCCACAAGTGGGGTTTGGGGAGATAGGATGTATGCAGCCTTACCCCTATCCTGAAAGGGCAGAGAGACTGTTTTCGATAGACCCTCGGCTAAAGAAGGTGAAAGAAGCCCTGATAGCAAGTAATAACAAGACAAATAATTAGAAAACTAAATCGAAGATAGCAACAGAGAAGATGAAGGAGGTACCGATAACAAGTAATAGCAAGACAATATATTTAGAAAACTAAATCCAAGGCAGCGAACGAGAATATGAACGAAGTACTGCTAGCAAACTACGGAATTACCGATGGCAAGTAATAACAGAACAAGACATGCGAATATAGCAAACTAAGGAAAGAAGGGTACCGTACTAGCACTAATACTATCGAACTAGAGAAGACAAAGGGAAACGCACGACTACCTACTAACCTTCTACCCTAATCTTCAACCTCCACACTCATCTATCTAGGGTCATGTCCTCGATTAGCTCAAGCTACGCCATGTCCCGCCTGATCACCTCTCCCCAAGACTTCTTTGGCCTACCTCTACCCCTCCTCTCACCTCCCAAGGCCAACCTCTCACATCTCCTGACTGGGGCATCTGGCCTCTCCTCTTAACATGCCCGAACCATCTCACCCTCGCCTCACGCATCTTTGACTCCAAGGGTCACTCCCACCTTGGCCCGAATAATTTCATTCCTAATTCTATCCAACCTAGTATGCCCATACATCTATCTGAACATCCTCATTTCAGCTACTTTCATCCGCCCACTTACATATAATCGATTGGCCCAAAAGGCCTTGCATTCAAGCCTTTTACTTATTCGGGCTTTTTTGACTTTTAGCCCGCGCTAGAACTATTTTTTATCGATAACCGAAAAAGTGTATAAAATTTGTATAATTTTTGTCATAAATGGTTGTGAGTTCACGTTCTCATCATCTTTGGTAAAATCAAGTCACCGCGAAGACATTCATAAACAGCTCTACCGTAGTTTTTAGCAGATAACCCCAATTTAGGTTTAATAGTACATCCCAACAGGGGACGACCATACTTGTTCAATTTATCTCTTTCAACTTGGATCCCATGGGGCGGACCTTGGAAAGTTTTTAAATAAGCATGAGGGATTCGCAGATCTCCCATGGGATTGTCTATAATGATAGACAAATGAAAGACTTTCTCAAGTTTCTGATTCATCCACTTGAGATTTTAAAACTAAAATAGGTTGGGTGGGCTTGCAAATTCACTCAGTCTCAGTGAATAAGTAAACAATTGAATTGGTTCAATTGCATGGTGCCAACGAAATCGAGTGCTAATTCCTATTATTGAATTAACCGATCGACGTGCTAGCGGACATTTATTTTGAATTCGATAATTTTTGCAAAAACATTTCTAACATATCTATTAATTTTATTATTATGAGAATCAATCCTACTACTTCTGGTTCTGGGGTTTCCACGCTTGACAAAAAACCCGGGGCGTGTCGTCCAAATCATCGGTCCGATACTAGATGTAGCCTTTTCGCGGGCAAGATGCCGAATATTTATAACGCTCTGGTAGATCAAGGTCGAGATAGTGTTGGTCAACCAATTAACAACATACAAAATGTATATGTATACAAACAATATACATTTTTTCATAATTTATTTTGAGAACGGCTAAACAGAATTATTTACCCTACTTATTCTCTGCCTAAAATGAATCTTTAGCCTATCAGATGTGTGGTATTTAGGTTGCTCCCCTTTATTAATCTCTAGTTCCAGACCTAACTGGAAAAAGGTTGATTCTCGACTGCACATGACTTCAGTTTTAGCGAATACTGATTCTTCGGATGTAGCCTGCAAGAGTTATAAAGGATAATTGAACCAGAAAGGATTAATAATTGGGCAGTCCAATTATTCGTACAAAGATCACTTGTTCACTCCTACAAGGAGCCGTGAAAACCTATAATTGCGTTGTTTTGAGCAGGTAAATGATAGAATGGAAAGGTAGCATACTATGTTTGGAGCAATGATAGTAAACATCAGCCACTAAAAATGAAAATTGTTTCCAGGGCATTTTCCAATGGCATATGAAGGTAACTATTAGATCGGCCTTCTACTCTTCGCAGGTAGTATTACCCCTGCGAAGACTGCAAATATTTGAAGATAGATCGTTCCAAAATAATTCTTGCAATTTTTAACCACCACCATGAAGAAGTCCCATTTACAACCTATTCCGGCTAGAACAGTCCTCCACAAATTCTGGAAAGGACTAAATCATTATGGACATCTACTGCCTAAATTTTACAGCCAGGAAGTGAGAACTTCCCAATCCCAATTTTCATCTCTATATTAAATGTACAGGAAAAACATTAAACGCTAGGCCATCCTAATAGCTACATTAGATAATCTGGGCTGAGCACACACATTTATAAGCGCTTTTCCACCTTCAATATTACCTGCGGGGAAAAAAGAGCAATTTTACAAACCCAAATCCTGCTTTCCGATAGTTTGGCCAACATACTAAAGCGGGAAAAGATCAGTGAAAGAACTCGAGACACGTGAATCTTTTTTACTGCATTTTCTTTTTCAAATGGGAGGTATTTCAAACTTACCTTGATGCACCCCTGCTGCGGCTTCTGTTACCTTTATCATGTGAAATAGATGGAAGTTTAGAGATGATCAGTGAGCTTTGTAGTCCCTCCAATAACTGCACGTAACAAATCAAATACCAATTTAACTTTTTTGCTCCTAACCAGCAATTATCTTAACCTTCTGTATGCAGGCTTACCTGAGTACCATAATTAATGAAATAAGACAACTTTAAACAAAACATAAATGGCAGCCATGAAGAGCCGGAGGGTGATTTCTTCCAATTGGTAATGGAAATGACATTTAAAAAGGGCTGAGTTCGATCTTTAATTGGTAGCCAAAATAGTGGGAAAGGATGGCACTGTAATGGTGGAGGCCAGGTTACTAATGGCACAATATAAGTTCCCAACATTCTCTTCCAAAGAGCATACCAAGAGCACACTTTAAAACGGCCATATGAAATGAAAGATTGTTTCTTCTCCCAGTTTACAAAGTAAATCAGGCAGTGAAAGGAAAAACAAGCAGGAAATGGGTGGTCAACTTTAAAACACAACAGGTTAAGTAAACTGTCTATTTTCCAATTCGCTTTAGACTCTTCATGATGCAGGTGTTTCTATGTTCTAATGATGTCTTTTCATTGGCCAAGACAAATAAAATCCTACTGCTTCAACGCCCTCCAATCATTTGACACCTAATTTTAGGATATTGGAAACCTTTGCTAGCTTAACTAATGTTCTCAAATATACTCACTTAACATATTAGTTAATCTAGACTGCACTAATTGCTAGCAACGTGCTTACTAAAGCAATCTCAATATTGCCCAAAAACTAACCCCAAAAAATGCTCAAAGAACGTCCATTCTCCATTCAAGGACAGAAACGCAACAAATTTTTAGAGCAAAAAAGATTCTGCAACTACAATGATGTACGGATAAACCGCTTTATTTTTATTTGTTTTGTGCAATTGGCTTAAGCTAATGTTATTAGCCATGATTGAAACTTTTTAGCACAACCTGTGATGTAGCTACACTGTGTGTGTGTGCGCGCGCGCATATATCCCGGCAGTTCACTTCAACAACAACAAGCCAGTGGGATAGTGGGGTCTGGGGAGGATAAAGTGTACGCAGACATTACCCCCCTACCTAATGAAGGTAGAGAGGCAGTTCACTTTTTTTTTTTGATGGGTAAATAATATATTATATAAATATTTGCACTAAGCCAGTGCAACAGGCGTAATTACAGGTTGTGCAAATCAGCAATTGCGGCTAAAATATCATCTACATTGGTACCAAAACCAGTTTGCACCAAAAAGCGATCAACAAAATGCAATTAAGTTTAAGGGACTGTAAATTTTTTCTTTTGCCTTAAAAAATTCTACTGTTTCTTTCAAGCAAGACAGACCACCAGATAACTTTAGGAACAATGTTAGGTAGACTGGTAGAGAGGCAGTTCACTTGTTGCTGGAAATCAATAAACTTATCTTTTGCTGATAAAAGAAAGAGTGTATCCTCACAGAAGTTGAGTATACTTAAATCAAAGAGAAGGCTTACCCTTGATGTTGGTTGAATCCTTCGGTTTGATCTCCGGGGTTCATTAACTTCATGTATCAATTTGTCCTTTACTTCAACGTTACTTGACTTCATACTAGATACAGGGGTCCTCTTCTTCATGCCCTCACCTCTGTAAGATGATGTTGAAGCTTTCTTGGCGATGTTGGCAGGGAGAGCTTCTGAAGAAAATTTCATGGGACCTTCAGCTCCGCCTTCAGCATTTGCCACAGAACTGACCACATTAGGCTGTTGTGTTTCACTCTTATTATACTTGACTGCATCACCTACCGCTCCGCTAGCATCTCCAGCAGAAGTAATACTATTATCCTTCAAATTTCTATTTGAACTAGGAAGCTTATTGGGTTTAGGAGGTTTCTGTCGAGCTTCAGTCACATGTTTCTCCTTCGGGTCAATTCTAGAACTGTTTTTCCATCCACCAGCTCCTGTTGCTCGAGGCATCAAATATTTTGTGAACTTAGCTGAACCATGTGCAGTATCACTCTTAGTTGCTCTGTCTGAAACGTAATGCTTGCTTACTTCCATAAACTTCCTTTTCTTTCCTGGCTTAGGAACACCAAAAACCTTTGATCCCTCTTTCTGCAAACCAGACCTCATTGTTCGAAGTGTGTTGGACTTATTGTCATTTTTGTTACTCCCAATATTAAATGTTTTTTCATTGACAGACAAAGGAAGCAATGCTGCTGGTTCATTTGTCACTGGCACCAACGGAACCATTTTCTCTGAGAGACTGTCATTTCCTGTATCCTCACTAGCAGGATTTCCCAGCTTAATTCGCTTCTCCTTAGGTGTATCGCCCTATTTATGTAATAAACAACAGGATCAAAAATACGGCACATCACCCTGACTGTAGATTAACAACTAGGTACTATTTAGGTAATAAACAACCAGGTCACAAATAAGGCACACCACACTGACCATAGATAAACAACTAAGCTGGATAAATCAAATTCTTGAAGATTTGATAAAAAGAAAAGACTAGAAGATATGTATACATGCAGACCTGGGACAAGAAGTCAGGTCTTGACCTGGACCACTCCACCCACTCCCCATCTTTCCATACAAGAGTTGGTCGGAGATGCCATGCTCTGACAACTGCGGTATCTCCATAAGCTGAAGAAATGAGCAAGAAAATCTTACCAGTTAATCAACCACATAGAATGGTAGAAAAAAATTGAGTCTCAAACATTAAAAATACCTGGAAAGTTGACACTAAATGTAGTCTCATCCCTTTTGTTCTTCTCAGCAATGACCCCCTCTCGCCAGCTAAGACACAGGATAGGGCAAAGAAAACGAGATGTTGGAAAAATGAAATCATATTGAGAAAAGATAATTAACTACAAAACTAAAAAGAAAACAACAAAAGCAACAACTAAACCTCAGTCCCAAACAGGTTGGGGTCCGCGAAAACTAGAAAAAACAAGAAAAGAATATATCTCCTCACGCCAACTCTGGCCTGACAAAGTCTGAAATACTGAGATAAAAAAAAAACAGGATTTTATGATAAATTACTTCCATTTTTCTATAACTGAGAAATTCCCACGGGCTAGGTCCGACACTTAATGGATAGTGGGGCTCGCCCCTCCATCCTTCTCCACTTAAGTACCAGGATTGTCTGTGGCAGGATTTGAACCCGCAAAGTGTGCCTAACCCAAACATTGCGATCCTACCACTAGACTGAAGCTCTGGTTGCTTTCTGAACTTGAGAATAAGATCAAAAATAATAAAATTTCATATGTATATTTATTTCTTTTGGAAGCACAGTGCGAACTACATTACAAATTCGATCAAGAAAAGTGCTTGTTCAACAATGTAAATTTACTAGCTTAACATGAATTGCCATATTGGGCACATGTAATAAAGCACAAAGGAGAATAAGACCTCTAGACATTCAAAAGCTGATGAACAATATTCTTATAATGCCACAAGTCAAAATCTATTATCAATTGTTTTGCTTTTATTATGACACAAAAATCAGTCTGGAGCCGATCCATTGGGCCATCCGTATCCTTCAAAACTTGAGGATTATGGGCTCGCCCCTCTCTACCCTTCTCCAACTTAGCATTTATCATCTTAAAATGCAGGAAATAATTTAACCAAAAGGATATGTCATAAATCAAAGAAATTGTTCTGATGCATATATATTACCTACACACACACATCCCAAAAAAACATTCATTGTCAGGGACTGAAGGAGATGACTTGGAACTCACAATCATTAGGAAAGGGAATAGGCGACTTAATGTGATAAAAAGAGATTTGAACTTACCGGTAGTCGATCCATGCATCAACTCTATCTCCTACATACCAGGTATACTCCTTAACAGCTGCTCTTCGCCTCTTTTTTGCTCCTTGCAGCGCAGTCACCGGATGTGCGGGACGTATTCTTGGTGTTTCGTCACTGTCTGCTTCTAGAGGTACCCAGTCCTTTAACTGTTCGAGCCCTGAAAGATTCGGAGGTATAAACCAGTTTTTAAGCCACAAAGTCCTTAGCCATAACGACAACAAAGAATGATGTTTTTTGGCTTCCTAGTCATATTCCATATGTACGACCTAAATTATCTGATTACTACAGAAACAAGGGTCAGGTCATGACAAACTTTGAAATTAGATTTTATGGAAGGCAAAAGAATGTAAGTACTGAGTTCCAGGTAACAGTTGTTGGACTTCAGATTCCACGAAGAGCAGAAGTTCCAACTTACCACTTGTGACATCTATTGAACTAAATGAGAAACTCCAAGGGGAAAAAAAGGCAAAGTCTTTACCAAAATTGAAGAAACACAACTTTAAGGCAAAGAATAGATAAGTGAACGCTTAGCAAGTCTTTGCTGAATTTACAAGTCAATTCCTGGTTGAACTTTATAAGTCACTAACTACGAGAAGTTCACTAACCACCACATGCCCAACAAAAAAGGGACTTCTAATATTACTCCAGCCAACTTGGGAAATGCAATATTCCATAAGGCCATACTACAATTGTAAAATGTAAATGGCCCCATACTTCCAGCTCACATTCTAATTTTAAGATATGAGCTTTTGTTTCTTAACCAACTCAATCTACTATCATTAGACAAAACAAGAGATGCATATCATATAGTTCTTGTGTGCATTTTCACCATTCGTGGGTTCTTTGCTTTGATAGAGTCCAAAAAGAGAATGAATCTCTTTTTTCTTGATTGGGTAAACCCCACTGCTTAAAACCCTCCCCCTGGACAGGGCGACAGAGAATGTTTTCAACGTTACCCCCCTAGGACTCAACTCAAGCCCCCAACCATGTTGTAATGTTAACAAGCATCGACAAAAATTGAACTTACAGGCATAGGCATGACGATATGTTTAGATCTAGCAGCAATTGCATACAAAAATCCTAAATTGAACACTAATTACTCATCCCAGATGCAATGAACAATTGGAGAGGAAAGTTTCACTTATTCCCCTAATACTCAAGACCAACGCCTCTCCACACCAATCAAATAACTTGCAAAAATAACATTTTCAGCTTACCTTCATCAGATTGATGGTCAGTGTAACAAACGAGCGCTTTTCCATTCTTCAAAGTCAACACTTTGGCTGAGTACCAGGCTCTCTTACCATCATCACTATCTTTAAAAACCTGTCAGTACAAAATTATTAATAAATTAAATCAGCAATGAGCTACATCATCAATAAAATAAACAAACAAATAAACAGTGAAGCGCCGCTGAAAATGGGGCATGATGGATAAAATAAATTCCCTAAAGAAGAAAAGCGCAAGTTCCAAATGTATAGCTTCTGTACGTGCACAAAACCTCAGAAAACAATTCGATGCAAAAGAACACTGGGAAATTCTCCCGGAACTACTCATTTCAATAGGATCTTACACCGAGTATCATACAAGTAATAAGGCAGCCAAAGGCTGATAAAGTTATTATTAACATACCTCCACAAGGGAACCTTCTTGCATTTTAGAGCTTGCAGCATCTCCACATTCTTCCACATCATGGGAAGCCAACCTGGAGTCATTCAATGACTCAGCATTTAGGCCTGCAGTCTTACTCATCTCTGGCATACTATGACCCTTTGCTCCTCTTACATCCTTTTCAACACCTGTAACGGGAGTTTGAATAACCTCTTCATTCCTCATGTTGTCCTCTGCCATGTTGCCTGAAACACCAGTAGGCTCGCAAGCAGGGGTCATGTCTTCATCAGACAGACCCTCGGATCTCTTGGAAAAGATGCCAGGAATCTTTTCGACAATTGAAATACCAGATTCATCCCCATTCACCTTTTTAGCCTTGCCACCATGCCCAGAGGGTGCTTGGGAAACTTTCCAGTAGTTATCAGGACCAGCTTCCACTAATTGATTCAGGGGCAAAGGATCAACCATTGCAACAATTTTTCCTGCATGTGACACAGCTTCAGCTGCCAGTTCCGCAGCCTTAACTATAGCATCCCAGTTCTCAGCATTTTTTGATGCAGCGGAAGCAGCATCAATCCTTCTCCTCGCAGCCTCCCTAGCAGCGAATATAATTGAACCAGAACTATTGCTAACTTCTCGACCTTTCAATATGGAAGCAGGAGTGGCACTCTCCAAGTTGTTCATATTAGGGAAAGAGACAGCACTGGTTTGATCAGGATTGCTCACTCCACATGCTATCAATGCCTCATCCGCCATCAGTTTAGCTTGCATTGCAGCATTTGATGCAATCTTAGCAGCCGCCGCGGCTGCCTTTGCAACAGAAGCAGCAGCTGCTACAGCAGCGGCAGCAGATGTCAGCTTAACCTCCACATCCGTCACCAAAACAGAATTTTTTTGCTTATCTAATTGGCTCCACACATCTTGGCAGTGACTGACTGCAGAAGCAGCACTTGCAGCGGCCTCCTCTGCTTGCAGCTTAGACTCCTCAACTTTGCCTAAATACTCTGAAGTTAAGGCCTGTTTTCCTAAAAGCTCTCTCTTAGAGAGATCAGTGGAAGATGGGGTAGAGATGATCGGTATATCAGAATTGCTTATATCAGAGCTAGAAAGAGGTGCTATGACAACTGACGTTGAAAAATGGCCAAGTATGGGAGCAGATGCAGGTCCTGTCTGGCTTTGAGCAACCAATGGTGCAACAGCAACCGATGATGACTGGCCAAAGTTATCAGATGCCGGGGCTTTACTTGATAACTGAGTACATACTGCAGGGGCAGGAACAGATTCAGAAGAGGTACCACGCAAAGATTTGTGGGCACGATCCTCAGTACCAGATGCCTTTTTTCTCTTTCTAGATTTCTGATCAGCAGGCAACACTGATGCCTTTTTTTCATCACGCGGAGAAGCCCCAGCCAGAATACCACTTTCCCCAGCATGAGCCACTGAAACAGGCGTTGCATGCTTTGCACCAGCAGAAATGGACAAGGATGACTCCTTTAAGGGGGTTAATTTCACAGGCTCTGTAACAGGCAATGCAGGAAAGGCAGAAGTTTGTGGAGAAGCAACCCAGGAACCAGGGAAAGGGGCCTGTGGTAGCCAAGAGGCAGTGTGTCCCACAAAATTTCGTACTGGTGGAGTCTGATAGGGATGCATAGGAGAAAGTGCCTTATAATCGATGACAGCACCTCTGGTCATGCCACTAGATGGCAGCCCATCACACGAGGGGGTAGGTATATTCCAAAGAGGGGATGAAAGTGGTATAATAGGACTAACAACGCGTGAATTGATAGCCTTGCCGCTTGCTCGACCAGCTGCCGGAGTAGTAACTTTATTTTGATGCATAACCTGCTTGTTAGCTTGATCTGGAGTTCTGGGACCTGCATTTCTCATTTCTAAAGTACAATCAGTAGCAGCATAACATGAAGGGAAAAAAATAGAGATGTCCTCTACCTGAACGTGGATGAGACGGAGTTTCATTGTTTCCAGTGTGAGATCTCTGTCCACGAATCCTGTCAACACACGCACGCCAAGCAGGGTCCCACAGACCTCTCCCTCCATCTGCAGAGCCTCAAGTAACAAATAACATGTCCAAGTTATAGAAAAGAAAGTAAAACATGAAAACATAACTAACACAAGCAGACAAACTAACCAGATGTCCCAAAAGCTGAAATCATGCAAGCCTCGTCTGGTGCAGCACCTTGTCTGCAGCAACCATTTGAAACAATGAATTTAAACATATACATCATATACATGTTAGATGGGCAGGCTATTTCACAATCCTTCCAGTATGCATTACTAGTGAGTTGGTCTAGCAAACATCAAATAATCAGACCAATTGGACACCCACCAAAATAGTAGCTGTTCTTTCCTTTCCTTGAACTCAAAACTATATACGTGAACAAAACTGAAAGAAAGAAATATCATCTTCAAGTCTATCCTATCAATCTAAATAACTCGTCTCTTTCTCTTTCTTTTCTCACCTTCAAATCTATCCTGTCAATTCAAAAGTCTACTCTCTCCTTTTTCTTATTTCCTTTATAATTTTCTTCTTTATATGCAGTTCTGGTGTGGAAAGTAGTGGGTGGTTTGAAAGTTTTGTTGCTAATTCCCATAATCAAAAAAGAGGAAACAAGCATTCCTACCCACCTGCCATGTGAAGTCATACCTAAATCCAAACATGCTCTAGGGCAGTTTTTGTGCTTACACTACATGGTCTTATTTTATCGTGGATAGCTACCAGCACATATGCATATAAATTAAGAACGTGGCATATAGGACTCACATCAGAGACCCATAAACAAAAATTTGAGCTCGCAGTTGCACTTGTTGCAGATCTGTGAAAGGCTGATGAAACAATACAGATGCAGTAGATGAAGTGTTTAAATCCGGTAAACTTGAAGTCGGAAAGGAAACAACCCCATTGGACTTTGTAATATTGCGCTCATTGTTTCCAGATTCAATTTGCAATTTCTGCGCAGCAACAGAAGGGCTAAACAGAGCACCTGATTTGTCTCTTCTATCCAACTGCTTCAATGAGTTTATTTCCTTCACTTGGTTTCCCTTCTTAGGGTTTTCTTTACTTGATTTACTCGAGCCACGTCTTGCCTTGCGCTCACCCTTAGCAGCTCCAGACTGAGCCGCTTTGTCAGTTACTAGAGGACTTACAAGAGAAATTTCTTGCACGATCTTAGTATCAGTTTGTTTGCTGCCAGATGTCAAAAGCAGTCCATCCCCAGCCTTCAACTGTAATTCATACTGAGATAGTCAGAACATCTTAAGGAGCTCTAAGAAGCATAATACAAAAATAAAATAATACGATTGTAGAAGACAATGCAGACCTCAGTTAGTTGGGAAGCTTGAGTACTGGTGATTGATTTGTCTGCTTCTCCCTTAGCATTAACAACCAATGGACTTACATCAAAAGTAAAGCTCCTATCTGCTTTAGCGGAAGCATTTTCTCCTGAACTTATGGAGGTGGACTGCGCTTTACCACCAATTTCAATTGTATCAACAAGGGGAGCAACATTCTCAACTACAGCACTACTTCTAATCTCGGCCGTTTTCTTTTCACTTGGTGAAAGAGCAGAACAACTTACGAAAGCAGCAGAATCATGTTTAGGTCCTCCAATCACGTCAGAACTTTCCTGAACTGCAAAGGCAACTAAATCATTTCAAAACTCCTTTTGTTTGTAAAAAAAGGTCTTTCGCGGAAAAGAACAAGCGTCAAATGCTACCAATCTTTTCAATTCTCATATAGAATTTTTCAAGGAACTCGACGCTATATATTGCACTCCACCCAGGCAATGCTCCTTTTTGCAGGTTTCGATCTAAACCATTACCAACCATTATATATTATCAGCCCTTCCCGACCAAGAGACATTCTAAAATTTCAAATGAGTCCAAAGCCCTTTTCTTCTTCTATCCATTTTTTAAAATAAACTCATAATTGTGTGATTTGACAAAATGAAGAACCTTGAGCTCGTCCAGCATTACTTAAAGTATATTCAAATGCTTTCATATGTTTATTACACATACACATACATGATCACAGAGATATTGCCTATAGATTAGCGATATTTGAAAAGGCTAAAAATGAGAAAGGAATTGTGAAGTTATTCTCATAATGTCATATAATAGGTACTTGGTAAAATGAAACGAGGAGAGAGAGAGAGAAAGAGAGTCCAAGTTATCTTTGAGTTCATAAGGCCCTATGATCATGTTTCAATTCTTCCATTTGGCATAGATAACTGACACAGTAAGACAATTCAATCTGTCAATCAGTTGATCACTGAACAAGCAATACAACTGGTTCTAAAGAGAGAATGAACAGGTCATAAAGCACAAAAGAAAAAGCAGAAGAATATAAGTATGCATAACTTGACATCTCAATATGCAAATAAAGATAAAACAGCAACAAGTAACCTACAAATCGCCCATGTTCACTAAGAGTGTTTATGACACCATCGACTTCAAAAGAGGATGGACACTAAGACCAGTTAGTACTATACCCATCTGCAGTACATAATAAATGGGGATCTCATAAGGCCACAAAGCATTCAATGAAATGCAAACACCACTGCTTATGTCATGTTTTTCAGTTCACAAAGACAACTCTTGAGTAGTTAACAGTGTTATCAAAGGCGAAAAGTCCAAAAAGCTCTAAGGTCCGTTGGGGCTTTAAGCGTAGAGTGCAAATAAGACGTGGACTTTGATGAAGAAAGGTTCAAATGGACGGGAAAATATAATTATGTATTCGTACTCCAGGACTAATAATTATAAGCATGACTAATAAATATATGGACAACAAAATTGAAAACAAATTATGATAAAGTGAAATATCAATTGTTTAGTGTCCCCTCTTAAGATTACGCTCATTGGCAAAGAAAAGTATGCCTTAGAGCCTTGATGATGGTACTGGAGTGCTCTCTAAGCGAGCCGAAGCGCTCTCTAAGCGCTCAACATGTATTGCGCCTCGCCTCGGGGCTTAAGCACGCTTTAAGCCCGCCTTTGACAACATTGATAGTCAACATAGAAGTCCAAAATGTTCACTAACAACAAGTTCTCTCACAATGAAATGAGAAAGAAAACTAGCTTGTAAATAGTTCATTAGCAAACAACAACCAGATGTTGTGGTAGATAAAACTGAGAAAATTTAAAACAAAAATTATATATTAAATTACCACATTCCAGAGGGAGCAAAGGGAAAGGGGAGACAAGTATACCTAAATAAGCCCATTTTTCCAAAAATAAATGATAATCACTGAGCAACCAACAAATCATAGATATAATTATACGAGTCCCGGAAATAAAAGACCAACCTCCAACTTTTCCCAATTCCACTGTTTCTACAATTATTTCCTGATTCCTTGCAAGAGCTGCTGCCTCAGCACCATCACCCTCTTTGATGGTTGAACCACTATTCATTGCACATGCTTCCACATGCCTACAGCACTCGCTATTTGCTTCAGCAATTGCTGCTTGCTCAACGTGGCTTGCTGTGTCGGGATTACCCTTAATAGAACTGTTCTGATCAACAATCACAGGTGCTATTTCCATATGACAGTCACCAGATGCATCTTTTTCATCAGCGGAAAGGGGACCTGGACAGCCTGCAGTAGACTCCTTCAGTGTTGGCACTTGTGCTTCTACACTGGGAACAACTTCCATTTCCTCCTTTTCTGCCAAATGCTCTGAACCCATCAAAACTGATACTGGCTTCAGCTTTTCATCATGATTAACTATCTCAGTTGCAATAGCGCCACTAGCAGAAGGCAACGGAACACTCACTGGTGTGCCACCTGAGATTAAGTTCCCACCTTCAAACCCGGCATTTGATGCTGCAAAGTCACACCAAGTAACAGTAAGAAGTAGCAAAAGATTATAACAGGCTAAATTTCTAAAACACATTTGGCCGTCTACAATATTTAAGCACTAAAATGAGAAATATAAAATAATACCTTGTTTAATCAATGCGGAAGGTTCAAATTGTGATCCATGACCTTGGTCAGAGATTTTTTCAGGTTCTTCACCCACAGAGGAGGCTCTAACCCCATGGTCACGCTCACATGATCTCTCTGTCTCATTTTCTACTGGCAGCACTTCCTCCTTTTCCTTACCGCTAGAGACACCCTCATTAGTAGTATCAACATCAACCACACAAGGGAAGCTTTCTCCACATATGTCCATCGATCCAACAGGCACAGACGAGGAGACGCGATCTCCAGCACATGCATCCCCCTTGGAGACCCTATCAGCATCATTTCCAGTTTCCAAATTCTCAGGTACTGGCCTCTCCACAGTAAGTTCAGCAGAAATAGATGCCTCTTGTATATTACTCGGACCTTCCAGAGAATAAGTACAATTACCGTTACCATTATTCGGCTTTGACGGCTCGGAGAGCTCTGATATTGTACATGCCTCTGACATACCAAGATTGAGTGGGATATGACTTTCAAGAATATTCTCCTCTTTCTCATTGCAAGTACTCAGTCCATCTGATATCTGCACAGCAGAGACCTCCATCTGACCCTTGGAGCCGTTTTCTTGGTCCTCGGTGTCTCTTGAATCTAAACGCTGACTTATAGATGCCTCCTCATCCTCACAGAGTATGCTATTACCTTCAGCCTGTAGCTTATCTTCCGAGGATTTTGAGGAAACCGTCACCAATCCGCAAATCTCAGGAGGTTCAGCAGAAGAAGCATCTTCTTTGCATCCATCAGCAGTAAGACTGCATTCGTTCCTTTGCACGCAAGATTCCTGTAATTTAATCATCCTTGTATCAGTTGGAAGCTCTTTTACTACTTCCAGTTCTGAAGCAGCAAGAGAGAGAGGACTGGCATTAGAGGTACAAGTTTCACTTTCAACGCCACTTCCACACAGCTTTTCATCACCCGTACTCTTCTCTTTGCTCACAGAAATTTGTTTCTCCTCTGGTTTGTGATGTTCACTTGGTAAACCACTTGTATTTCCACTATGACAGCTGGTTAAATTATGCTGACTATCCAAAATCTCCACACTCACAGGACGAGCATCTGTAAGGCACTCGTTAATTGCACTTTGAATTACAGGAACAGATGGATGTCTATCAGATTTATCAGGTAGCAATTCATCTTGTGAAGTTTTAGCTTCCCCTAGATTCTCATCAATGCCTTTTATTTCAGTCTGTGACTTTTCCTCAGCAGTAACTCCAGAACATCTCTCACCAGCAATGTCAGAACATCTATCAGCAATACGTTCCAACGCCTGCATTTCTGCAACGCATGCAATATGTTTACCTTCTCTCTCTGTTCTCTCACACTTAGAGAATGTCACAGTAAACTCAACTGACTCATCTGCTGGTGCTGCTGAGCTGGACTCTTTAATATCGTCTCTTTTATCATCCAACTTCAAATTAGATTCCACTGGCTGGATTAAGCAACCCAATTCATTTCCAGCATCTGACTCTTCAATTATAGTGTCCCCTGGAACCATTTCTTCTTGCCCAACCGATTTCAATAACATTTCAACAGATTCTGTTGATGTTGCCTCAGACCAGACATTATTACGCCTTGGTATGGAGCAAGAATCTGCAGCACTTGAACTGAACTCTATTCCACTACTTCCCCGAGAAAAATCCTCTATCCACTGGTTGTCTTCCTGAGTGGGGATACCAAGGAAAACCTCGTTCTCAACTAAGCTGTCAAATCTTAAATGCCCCTGAAGACTATCGTCAAAATCAAATTTGGGAAGAGCATAGGGATGCAAAACAGAGGAAACTTTGGAGCTGTCTTCACCGGTTAAATGACTTTGATAATCATTGTCATTGTAATCCATCTGTATATCCCTGGACAGCAAAACATATAAGTTAGTCAAACGATTAACAATGAAATTCATGGAGTATACATTAAAAGATTTTCCTCCTTAAGCCATTCAAACTTTCCAAGAAATTAAACTTTGAAAGCCAAATGTTTGTGGTTGTACCTTTTTGGGATAAGTATTGTGGTTGTACTTATAAATTGGCATGTGAGCTAAACTTCAAGCCAAATGTTTGCCACTTGGTTGATCATATTCATTTTCTTCATCAAGTGAGATTATAGTGTAATCATTGTTTACTGATTCTTATCAATTCAGAAGAAACTTTTCAATGTGGCAGATCAACATTTGGCTCCAAGTTAGCTTTGTTTCAAAGTGTATCAAGACTATTTTGTGATGTCTGGAATTTGGTTTTACCGGGAAATAACATCCTCATTGTGACAGTTTCATCTATGGTATATTATGGAATAAAGTGGGAAGATTACCATACAAAAGCACCAATGCAAAAGATGCGACAACAATACTAGTGCTAAATCAAAATTATCCCCAAGTAAAATCTTGAAAACATCAAAGTGAACCAACGAAAGACACACTTGAACCACTACAAAAGAAATATATCAAATGCACAAGCATAATGCCAACAACATAAAAGAAACGACCAAGTATCCTTTGATGACAACGCATCATGAAATGAAGCTTCTATTAATATGCCTCAGAACCTTCAACCGATTTTCAATAATTACTCATACATGAATGAAGGAAAAAATAACCAGCAAACAAAGTAATTAGGTTGAGGCTGTAGAGAACTTCTAATAGTTTTTCTTCATATTTGGCAGAATACATAGTTAACCCCCTAACCTTGAAGCCAAATCCCTTTGACACACCCCTCCAACACAGGCAACTCCTTACACACCAAACCTTTCCAAAGTATGTCTAACACGCTATTTTTTTCTTGACCAAAACATGTGTAATGTCAAGCACCAATAAGGTCGTGATGTGTGTCACTAACGTTTTCAAAGAACATTATTTACTCTTGATCATCTTCTATTCAAATTTCAAGTTTGAAGCCCATAACTCCAATCTGATATTTTTCAATGTTCATTCCACAAAATCATACCTAACCAGTATAAGTACATCAGATTAATCCATCCATCCAAACTAGTTAATGCTAAGTCTTAGCTTGAGGGACATTTTTGGTATTTGCTTGGGAGCTATTATAACCCTATACAAAAAATAGGATGTTTAGGGTTTAGTTCAGACAACTTTGATAATTGGATGATTGATACTTCATTTTGTAAGATTGTGATGGTTGTATGCCATCGTTGTACAAAGCATTCATTGGAGCTTGCATGAGGATTTCATTGCCTCTTGAGGGGTTCATACAGTTTTGGTGCTTCATTGAATTCCTTAATATGAGGTAGTTGATTTCTGACACCATTTATTGCCTATAACATTCATATTTGTATATTATCTTCTCATCTCTTTTCTATTTTCTCTTTTGCTTCATTTTTTTGATTTTCCATTATCTTTGTACCTGCCCGCTATCACAAAACAATAAAAACATTGTACCATTCATAGTTCTCCAAAAGCTGCCTAACTAAAAAGAAAATCCAGAAGATCTAAATTGCTCGGACACGGGTGCGGGTATCCGACACGTGTACGGATCAGAGATCGGATCCTTCGAGATGTAAATTCTAAGATTCGGAGAACCAAAAATTATTCAAATAAATAAATAAATAAATAAAAAATATCTCTAAATTATAAGAAATTTTGTAAAATACTCACATATAGCTTGTAAAGTGTGGATTTCTTTTTTATTCCCAAGTTGTAGATAAGTAAGGAATTCATTTTCTAGATAAGGTGTGCTATTTTCTTCAAACTTATCCAAGTTTTGGTTCAGACTTCGAGAATCAAATTGTACTCTCTTCTCGAATTTTTCCGTCCGCCGTGGTCAAAGTACCCAAAATTATTTGGCCAAATCCATTGCGGATCTCATACCCACACCCATACTAGTGGTGTGTCGACACGGGTGCGGCACCTAAACTGCCGCGTCAAAGCAGAAGATTATAAAAGATACTAACAGATGCACAAAAGTTTTAAACAACATACAAAATGCAGAAAAAAAAGGCCTTAAACCTTTTCAACCCACTCTCCCCTAACACAAGTAGCTAAAAATGCCCCTATGTTTTTTATTTAACAACTGTGGTGTCCAGACCAGCTTGCGCACACCTCGACTAATTCCACATGATACCTACTACCTCCCACCAACATCAGGTACCAAGAACCTCAATCCACCAAGGCTTTGACAAATGGAAAAAAACCACCTAGTGTTTTTGTCTTCGCTAGGATTTGAACCTGACACCTCAGGTTATCAACCCACTTCATTGACCACCAAGCGACAATTTGGATGCTAAAATGACCCCACTTTGCCAAGAATCTTTCTATTTTGATTAGAAATTTGTGAGTGGGTGAAAAATGTAAAGAACCTCGTGTTAAGAACCTCTAGGTAAAGACTCCCTAATTTGCCTCAAAAAGATAAATGTGTATTTTCTTTACAAGGAAAAAGACAAATGAGTATTGGAATAGGTTCAAAAGAAGCTAAATGGATATTGAGGATTCAACTAGCAAAGGTAGGCATGGTACCTAGGTACACACCTAAAGAAATGAACTTTTTACCAACTCAAAAAATCACCATTTCATCCTTAACCACCAAGACGCTCCAAAGTTTAACTGTTTCAACAATAGCAACTACTACCCCTCAATCCCAAACAAGTAGGGGTCGGCTATATGAATCTTTACTTAGCATATTTCTCCATTTAAGCTCAACTCATGTCATCATCATACCAAATAAAAATAAAAGCTAAAAATAAGTTAACTCTATAAAAATAATAGTAATAATAATAAAAATACTGATATTGAAAGTTCTCTAAATTTCTAGTGGCATATAAATCCTACAAACAAACAAAAAAAGCAGTCCATGCCACACGGAGACAACTTCATCATTGCTCCAAGGCTCCCCTTCACATATAAATCTTACAATTTGCCTTTCCTAGGTTGTAATCAGAGAGACCAAAAAAGGACAACTTTTATAAAACTCAAGCGACCACTCAGATAAAAAACAAAGTAATCACCAACAAAATCTAAGTCTAACTAGTCACACACCTGCATTTAACTACCGTGAAAACTACAGTTGAAAAAAAAAATTACACAGCTGAGGAAATGAACAGTTACCAGAAGAATTAAGTGTAGAGTTGCTACCTCCCTCCATCCGGTGATAAGATCTCAACCGTCGATCAACTCAGCCCAAACGATATCAGCTACGCGATGCTTCATACCATCTAGGGTTTTACGCAACAACTCCCAAATCGCCAAACCCTAACCCTAACTTTAAACCTAACTCCTTTAAAACCAAAACACGCACACCTAAACGACGTCGTCGGAAGAATAAATATCTCCGCCTGTAACCTCCACACCTTCAGCGAACGAAGAAGAATTTTTTAAGTGAGAAAGTGAAGAAAATACTAAAATTGAGTGTAAATGAGCTTATATATGTACGAATAATATTGTGTGTTTATCTCTGTGTGTGACCTTACTGTTTGAAAATTTGTTTTTATTTTCACGTGGACTGGATCGAATTTTGAAAAAGTGGGGAGTTTTGAGTAAATAGCAAGGAATAACTAGGGGTTCAAATCTCAGAGGTGATGTAAAGTTTTGAAATTTTGAGGAGTTTTATGTAAATAATGAGGAATGATAAGGATGAAAACAAAAAGGCAAAGAAGAAAATAGTGAGATGGTGGTATCTTATTGGTTCTGGTGATTTTGGAGCCAATGAGACGTGTTGTTCTATGGTTTAAAGCGACGGGCGGTCGTTTAAAGTCACCCGCAGGTGAGTTTTTTTTTTTTTTTGGTAATAAAAGATTTATTCATCACAAATTAAGAGTTATTACAACAAGAACTCAGTCTAGGCCATATAGTGCCTAGACTGTCTCTTTTTAGTACATGGAAAGTAAAAACAGGCGGAACAGCAAAAGTTTGCAAAGTACAAAAAGTGTCCAGGCTGCAACCATTTTTAGCTAACAGGTCCGCTACTCCATTAGCCTCTCTAAAGATGTGCTTCAGCTGAGGATCATTCGCCATCCGTAATAGGTACCTGCAGTCATCAATTAAATTTTGATAGAGACAGTTGTTAGATTTTAGGAGATTTAATAATTTCAAGCAGTCCGTCTCTATTACTAGTGGGAGGAGCTTCTTTGTTAGTGCTAGTTTGACTCCGTGAAGGAGCGCTAGAATTTCCATGTAGATGTTGGTGGCATATTTTAGTCCCATATTGAAACCCAAAATCCAATTCCCCCTTTCGTCTCTAAACACTCCTCCTATTCCTCCCACTCCTGGGTTGCCCGCGCAGGCGCCGTCTATATTAAGTTTGTAGTAATTTGGGTTGGGTGGTTCCCATTTTACATAAATAGTTTCCTTTACAGGTTTTAAGCACTTGTTTTTAGCCATGTAGGGGAATTCAATGGCCCTACTGATGGGTTGGCATTTGTTAATGGGTGCTTTATTTTTTCCAAAGAGGATTCTATTTCTAAAGTTCCATATATGCCATAAGAGGAATGGGAGAAAATCTGCCCAACGAAGGTAATCATCAAAAGAAGCTTTCGATAGGAGTTTATTCTTAAGCCAATTATGGAGAGTGTCTTTTCCCTTGGGATTTTGGGAGAAGGGGTGTTTTGAATTGATTTGATGCCAGATTTGCCTAGAGTAGTTGCATCGGAAGAGGATATGCTCTATGCTCTCCGTCTCCCTGTTGCAAATATTACAAGTGTCTTCGTGGCAAATCCCTCTCTTTTTTAGCATCTCTTTGGTGGGTAGTCTATCCCAAAAAATTGTCCACAGGAAGAATTTCAATTTATTTAAAGAGTTTATTTTCCAAATCCAGGCTAAGTTTTTAGGATTGCCCGTGGATTCCGAGACAGCTTCATATGCAACTTTGATTGAGAAGAAGTTGTGATTTTTAGAATTCCAAGTTATGAGTCCCCAAAGGGTCCGGTTTGTTTAATGTATGTGCAGTTGATTTTGGAGACTATGTCCGGGGGGAGTTCGAAGGATAGGTTCCTGAGGTCAAACTTTCCATTTTCAATGAGGCGGAATAGATTTTGATCAAGCTCCCCAGCTTGTATGGGTCCTTGGATGGATTCCCTAAGAGTTCCTGATTGATTAATCCATTTGTCATGCCAAAGATTTATGGTTTTTTCATCACCTATTAGCCATTTAGTGTTAGCGTTGCATATTTCATTACCCTTTTTAATAACTTTCCACGTGTGGGAGCCTATATTCATGTTTTTCCTGTGATTGTATTTACTATGTATAATTTTGGCCCATAAACTTTCTTTCTCTTCTCTATACCTCCACGCTAGAGCTGCATTGAAGGAGGAATTTTTCATTTGGGTGTTAGAAATTCCTAGACCCCATTGTTTTTTAGGCATTGTAACTATACTTCATTTTACAAGGTGGCATTTCTTCTTTTCCTCCGTGCTACCCCAGAGGAAATTCCGCTGAATTGAGTCAATCTTGTTGAGTATTGTTTTGGGGAGGTCATAAATCTGCATGACGTGGTTCGGGATTGCGGCTAGGGTGGCTTTTATGAGGGTTGTCCTACCTGTCATACTTAGGAATATTGTTTTCCAGCCTGTTAGTCTATTGTTTAGTTTATCCAGGATAAACTGGAAGTCCTTTTTAGTGGGGTTAGTGCTTGGCATAGGGAAGCCTAGGTATTTCCCGAAGTTTTCAGTATAATTCATAGAAAAACATCTGCTGATGTGGTCTTTTTGATTTATAGGAGTATTCTTTGAGAACTACTAATTTTTGATTTATACAAAATTAATAGATTCGACCCGAAGCTATTGACTAAAACTTGTTG